AGAGAGAGAGAGAGAGAGAGAGAGAGAAAGAGAGAGAGAGCGTATGCGCGTGTATAATACATGTGTCTGTCTGTGTTCGTATCTTTGTGTGTTTGTGAGTGTGTGTGTTTGTGTGTGTGTTTGCATTTGTGTGTTTTTGTGTAATGGAGAGGAAGAGGAGGAAAAAGACAGAAAACGATGTAGAGAGCGAGAGAAAAAAGAAAAGAAAGAGAGAGAGAGAGAGAGAGAGAGAGAGAGAGAGAGAGAGAGAGAGAGCGAGAGATAGTAAGAGTGAAAGAGAGAGAGAGAGAGAGAGAGAGAGAGAGAGAGAGAGAGAGAGAGAAAGAGAGACGAGGGATCGAGAGAGGGTTGTGAGTGAACGTAGAGAGAGTGGGAGAGAGAGATTGAGAGAGAAAAAGAAAAAGAGAGAGATAGAGAGAGAGAGAGAGAGAGAGAGAGAGAGAGAGAGAGAGAGAGAGAGAGAGAGAGAGAGAGAGAGAGTGTGTGTGTGTGTGTGTGTGTGTGTGTGTGTGGTCTCTAACTTTCCCAGTTGTGTTTCACGACTAACACATGAATGGGGGAAACATTCACAAACAACCCAGGACAGTAAAGTACAGAGTTCACGTGAAAAGAAATTGTCAGTTTCCTTGGTGTTTATTTTTGCGTGATTTTCGCCCTCGTGTGAAGAGACCATGGGTTGGAGGAAGGACGACGGTCAGGTATATAACCCCGTCTCACAGACTCAGTAGACACTAGAACGTAGACAGAACCTCAGCCTTTGGACATTTTGTAGGTGGGTACCTAGTTTACTTTCCACTTTGCTCCTTTTATTTTTTATACTAGCATTGTGGTCTACAATTGGACTATCCCCGTGGTTTTATGCACCGCGCATAATTTAGCTAAATTTGATCTTTTTTTTTCCTTCGTAATTTCTGATTATTTTCCTTTATCATTCTGTGTTAAAATTAACAGAATCGCATAATTTCACATTTTTGGGCTCAGTTTGCATAATTTCAGAATTTTCATTGCATAAAACGTTTACAAGTTGTAGGTGAGTAGATCTAAATCTACCTCGTTTACTTTCCACTTTGCTCCTTTTATTTCTTATACTAGCCTTGTGGTCTACGATTGAACAAAAGCGCAGCACTTTACAGGAAGGAACGGCGCTGCTATCTGTGGCGATGTGGCGTCTTGTGGTCATCCCATTTCTGCTTGCTGTTTCCGTTACTTTATTCTCTGTACCATGCTAGCTATCTACGGCGATGTAGCATCTGTTATTCTGTCGTCTATACTGCTTGCTGTTTTCGTTACTTTACTGTCGGTACCATGCTAGCATTTACGGTAGCTGCCAAAAGACTAGAACTTTTCCTCATCGGATGTTAAAATCGTCATGTTCATGATGTACGAACTTTTAAAGATGGCATGCAAAAAAGTGGAACAAAACCTGTTTTGGTTTCCTAGTTATCATAAATAAAACCCCTGCTCAGAAAAGCTTCAATTCGTTCTTTTTTCTTGCACTGACAATATGGTAACGTGCACCAGTGTGTCACGTCACAAGTAATGTCCCTTTTCTTTCATGCACATGGTGGGTATATTCATCCGGTTGTTCGTTCATTCTTTTTTTAATCCCCTTTTCTTTTCAGCATACCATACTGACAAAATGAAAACTTGCATGAGTGTCGTCCTGCTTGCCATGTCCCTCGTGGTCATTGGTGCTCAAGGTAAGTAGACTTTATACGAGCAATTGTTCTTGGGGGGGGGGGGGTATCTGAGAAAGAGCACATCGACATGATAGCGACCGTAAGTCGTGCCCGAACGAAGAAACTTCCCGCTTTGCAAACGTAACGCTGAAATTAATATTGTAAATGTCGTATAACCTATTTACAAAGCTTTTTTTGTATGTCTGTCCGTCCTTTTCACATAATAGATTTGTTGCAATAAAACTTGATGACACTTGCAAGACCAAATTGAGTCGATAGTGCCGTAAAACACCTATCTACTCAATCAATCAAAAGCGGACTTAACGGACATCTGTCCGATCAGCAGCACGCCAAAGGCATGAGGTACATCTCGAACCATCACACACGAATGAAAACATGAATCTGTGTTCTCTTATTTCTTGCCTGTTGCTGTTTGCCCTTATAGGACAGAATTGAACAATCTGTGTGAATAACGAAATTATCCGGGCATTTTTTTAAAATGCTCCAAGTGTTCAAGCATAGTCGAATGAGCAGAATGCACGTCCTCATTGAGTTAAAGAAGGCGAACCTGAACTTTTCATCAAACAGCCTGTTGTAAATTGATGTCAGAAGAGAATTTCAGATGTTTATAGGCTAACACATTACTTTTAGTCCTATAAACTTTGAATGTCCATGTGACACTTTTTTCCCCCCTCAGTGCCCGAGGAGGCGGAGAGAGGAGGACGCTTGTGTTTCTTGTGTGTGCGAGAGAGTCGTGCAACGTCTGGAGCAGCTGCTGCAAGAGAGCTCCCAGGTAAGCCCTTTGGATACGGAGTCGGACTGAACAAGAAAGTTTCAATATTTTAAATC